TGTCTTTCTAAAAACTTCGTTATCTGCGTTCAAAGTTTCTCTCTTTGCTTTTCGCGATGATACGGGTGTAAACTGCTGACGTTGAACTTTTTTTTTGTATTTGCGGTGGAAAAAGGCTTTATCGCATGTGTGGGCTGAATATCTTTACGACTGTCTTGAAATGTAGATAAGTTGCATGGGGGTCCAAGAAACTGTTTCGTGGAAGCGATGTGAGTAATCGTTCTGGATTTAATCTAGAAATCTTTGTTTATCTTCCGGAAGAAGTTTTGGGATGCTTTCTAACATATGCCTGTCTGTGACCTTAAAACTTTTAGGGAAGGGGCGCGACGCAGTGACTGATATCTCAGATCAACAGCTGTACCTACAAATATCTTTTTCCAGATCGTAATTCCACGCGGACCCGTGCAGGCTAAAGGTCTTCTTCTGTCATGCATTCGAGATCCCAATCCATGTATTTTCTTCGAGCCAAAGGTATCGTTGTTGCTTTTGTTTGTATTTTCGAATTGGCTTGCTAGTGTAATTTTCAGGTTCTTTATCGACTGGCGGCTGAAGAGGTACCCACTGGGGACTATATGATTCCACTAAGTAAAGCAGATGTTGTCAGAGAAGGTATGTCATTTTTTCAGAATATGTTGTTACAGTTAATTCGCTTAAGAACGCGGATTTTATGCTGTTCTCACAACCTCTTTTGCATCTTGCTGATACTCAGTTGTCAGTAGTTGTATGCGACAGTTTACGAATCTTGTCTAGCGGAAATCTACGAAATTTAGAAAAATTGCTCCTATTCTGAGCTACCCAGTAAATGCTTGCTAAAGGTTTGCTTATTTCAGGTAAGGTGCAAACAGCAAATGTACTCCTTCAGAAATCAGCGAGATGCGAAGAAATTTTTTCTTTACAATAAGCCGATTAACAAATTATCAACAATTATCAAACACTCTTTTTTGAAAAGCAGCGTCCGGGCAACGAATGGAATTTTTTTCGCTTACCTGGGCTTATCCTTCCT